CGACAGCTCGAGTTATTCGTCTATCCTGATCCAAAGATATGCCGGCCAAATACATTTTTAAGCTTAAGTATCAATCGACCACTCGTTGAAAGCCTCGTAGGTTCTCTTAACGATCAACTGACTTCTTCTTTAATACTGTTGAAATTAAGTTGAATGAATTGCGTATAGGGCACTCCAATTACGGTGGACCTTGAAAATGAATTCAAGATAGGAACTAGAATCTTCATTGCTGGAAGATTAAAACTTCTTCCTCATTCGTAAGTTCGAACAATCGTTAAGCCATTAACAGATCTTTCTTGTTTTTTTTTTCTATTTTGTAACAGGTTTTATGTAAATCTGCTAAAAGGAAAAACGATTTATCCTCATCCCATAATTCCTATGCATTTCAATCCTCGGTTTTCATACGGTAGTCGTGCACCCTATGTCGTAATGAATTGTTGGATGAATGGATCTTGGGGACACGAAGAAAGACACGAAGGACACCTATCCTGGATGCCTGGCCGTGATTTTCTTCTGACGTATGCTCCATTGTTTTTAAAAGGATCTACGATATCTGTATAACAATGATACATTTAAGACAACTTTCTTTCATATTTCTTTCTATTAGAATTCGATGTGAACCCGAAGCATACACGATATGGCTGGGAGACAAAATGATTGGCGAATTCAAACACAGAATACAACCATCCATCATTGATACCCTTATTATTTCTGGAGACGTTGTGCTACACGAATTGGCTATGACTTGAACTATTTAAGCGAGTTTTCTCGATAGAATGTCTTCATTTGTTACCTATTTTCATAAAAGAGCATTTAGTTTTTATCTTATTTTCGCAATTATGCTCGTACAAGTCTGCGCTTCTTGCACGGGTTTTATTTTAAACTATTTTACATGTAAATGAATCATGTATACTAATATTTTTACTCGTATTTATGACTTAGATAAGTCGATGAGACTTTTAATAAAGATTTATTATCAAGTCATTTATTCTATTGATTCAAGATTTACAAAGTTCTCAAGAATATCAGTTTATTTCTTGATATTATTGTTTCATACAGTATAAAATAACATATTCTATTTTAAATATTTCTATTATAGAAATCAGAAATACTACTTCGATTGTTTAATTTAAATTTTGCGCCACAACGTAACATACAGGATACAGGTTTTCGATAATTCGGTTGAAAAGCACAACCATGTTTGTTAGCTCGAGTTTCCAATCATACTATATATATGTAGTTTCAGATGGGTACAAAAGGCGCGAATGCAGAGTAACGAAACGGAAGTTTTTTCAGCGGTTTCGGATTATCTCAGAGTTGTTATGCGACTCGATTTTACTGTTTTTTAAACTGTATTTTATATTATTCGATGTTGACACGAACATACATAAATGTAGCACGGCAGTAGGAGTGTAGCATGATATGCATTGAAATATTTGAAAAACTGACACTATAACGAACAGTTATAGAAGTATTTTCACAGGAAATTTAGGACGATTTACTTATTACTATTTGTTCAGGTTAGTTTCTCCATTTATTATACTCTCGTTACCTTATTTTGCGCATTCTTATTCATAAAAATCCATTCAAATCTAAAATACATTATTTTAATAGAAACGTGTGTGTATACATTCACGCTTTGATACTAATGTTGCATCATTGTTGTATCTAATTAATAACTTACATATTACAATAATATTTGTACACTATACTCTACTAGGTATAGAAAGTTTATAAGCTATATAATCTTCTTTTTATTTGAAATTAAATGAAAATTCGTATTATTAATCTTTATTAATTATAATCTAATATTCTATACTATTGTAATTGCAATGTTTATTTGTATACATCAGATTTTATTTAGCTGAGGCAACATGTCTGTAGACACTATGCAAGGAGATTCTTTGTACACTCCACGTAGAGTTCAAAAATGTCTATTTGGATCAGTTGGAAGTTCAACTGAAAAGAGTGCACGAAAGATTCAAAAGGATTCAATTTTAGATAATGCCTTATCTGGAGATGAGTCAGATTTAGGACCCATGTCACCTTTAGCGCTTACTGATCCAAGTAGTTGTAACAGTTCACCAAGAAATGTGCTTCTTTCTCCATGTACAACACCTAAACATCAATCATTTAAAATGTATTTAACTCGGAGTCAATTATCACCAAGCATATGCAACAGGAGCAAATATCATAGCACATTAAACAAATTTAAGAGAGATATCAATAGTTCTCCTCAACAAAAAATACTACCAGACTCACCAAAATCTTTATCAAATTCGCCATTCAAGGGTTTCAGTCTTTCAACAGAAACAAAGTCAAGAATAAATCCATTGATAAATGAAACAATACCAGAAACACCTAAAAGACATTTTGGGAAAGAATTACAGAATAGTATTGTAGAAACTCCACCTAAACGCGAATGTCTAGAACAAAAGTTAATAACACCATTGACTTCAGAGAATAAAATGATTCCATTGCCAAAATTACATAGACGGAAGTCTCTCAGCATGTTGGATACAACTAAAAATTCTTCACCCGAAAGAAGAAAAAGTGCATTAAAAAGACATGCATTAGAAGAATTAGAACATACCACAAAGTTAATAAAGACTGATGACACTTGTTCTGTGCCTAAAGCTAGAGCAGCTTTGTTTCAAGATAAAAGTTATAAAACTAAATTAGAAGATCTATCTTTAAGTACCAAGAGTTTTTACAGCAACTCCAATATAAATTTTAAAAAGAATTACATGGTTATCGATGAACCACCAGAACAGAAACAGCAAAGGAAAAGTTTTTCTGGACATGTACATTGTAGTAAAAAATCTATTAGAAGATACACAATAGGAGGGATCAATGGTGGAGTATCACATAGAATTAAAAAACCAAAACCAAAATCTAAATTAGGCACTACAAAAAATAAATTGATTGATGATGCACGAAATACAATGAAAATAGAAGACACAAGTACACATAGTACAATATTGAGGGAAAGGTCTCCAACACCAGAATTTGACCTTTGTAAGCGTTTTTTCAAGATGAAAAGATCAGACAAGAAAAATAATTCAGCTGTTCAATTAAACAATGGATCAAAAGATAAAATAACATTAAATCAAGAGAACATACAATCTGTTAGACAAACAAATAAACGAGCAAAATTAACAGACATTTCATTTGATACTACTGATTTGACAGTGGATGAACCAGAATTTGAAGCTATGATGGAAGGAAACAATGTTGCTAATATATTAGAAATATTAGAAAATGATTGGGCTGATGATGAATATGATACAATGGAAATACTAACTAATCAAAAATTGACTCGCATTACACCGTTAAAACCGGTAGAAATTCTAAAAGGTGTTACTATGTCGCCAGCGAGTGAACTTAGTAATATGACGTCCATTATGAATATTGGTACACCAATAACGTATGAAAATATTTCTGTGGACAATAATGAGAACAATGTTAAACAGAATGAACAGAACTATTACCCCTTGTTTAATAAAGGGTACTCTGCTAACAAAGAATTTCAGTAAGTTCTGTGAAGTTTTTAATACATTGGATCATTCTAAAATATTCCTTGTTACTTATTTAAGACTAACAATTTAACTTACTTATTGTTTTAGTGAAATTGGTAAAAAATCGACACCTAATAGGTCAGGAAATGTAAATTGGCAATTATCTACTAAACAAAATGGTGGTGACAATCAGTATCTATTAGATGCAGGACAAAAAAATTTTGGAGCTACCCAATGTACTGAATGTGGTGTTGTATACCAGACAGGGGATCCTGATGATGAAAACGCTCATCTAAATTACCACAATAATAGAAGAACTCTAAAATTTCCTGTATGTAACTTATATAAATACTTATACTTATATGCAACACGTATAAATAATACTTTAAATATTCTGTAATTATAAACTTTTGATTACAGGGTTGGAAAACGGAACGTGTAATTATGGAAGATTCTCTAACATCGAGTCGAATAATCTTAGTAGAGTCGAGCGATTCAAAACAATGTTGGAATAAGATAACAGATGTTCTAACATATGTGGACAATGATTTGGGATTAACTGACACGAAACTAACCAATTATGAGCATAAAAAGGTAATTATTGATATTTTTTACGTTATTTATATTGCATCGCTTTAATCTATTTTACTTCTAGGTGTACTTGTACATAAGGGACAAAGTCATCTTGGGAGTCTTAGTTGCAGAACCCATAGTCACCGCTCATCGTATGATCCCTGAATTGTTGGAATTAGATTGTTGCACAGCAGAAAGTACACCTGCTAAATGTGGTATAAATATTATATGGACTGACATGAAACATCGTAGACAAGGAATAGCATCTAAATTAGTCGATACATTAAGGTACAGATTTATTGGTATAAAACTTGCATTAATATTTTTTTCTTTTTATATTAATCAGTATGTTCTCAATTCTTTCAGACGTCAATTTTATTATGGTTATATAATGTCTTTAGAAGATATTGCATTCTCAACTCCAACTCCAAGTGGAAAAATATTTGCTGAGAAATATACCAAGACTCGGAATTTTAAAGTTTATAATTAAAATTTGGTATCAATTTTATACATCTTCTTAAATAAAAGAAAAGAATCAAAATTAATACCAATTGTGCCATTTATTTGTTATTAGTTTTGTTTTTGCGTACAAATATTTCTTATAATGGTACTTATTTGGTTTGGTTATTTATTTGGTTTTTTTCACATAATTCTTCGTTCGGAAAACAATCTTGTTAAATTTACGTTAAAAAAATGATTAAACGCTTTTATTAACATTGCAACAGTTGTTTTTGAACGAAGTATAAAAATGTTTTCTTTTTTGCCCCTTTGAGGGCAGAACACCAGATCTGAATACTCTTTGTTGTTACTCTGTGTTACTTAAATTATTACATATTTTGTAGATGCTATTGTTTTAGTATATTTCAAATTGTATGACATGTGAGAGATGGCAATTAAATACATACGAAGTTTGTTTATCTATATACTGTTTTTATTTAATTAATACTTCAGAGACAAGGAACTGCAAAAAATATGTATAAAAAACATATTAAATAAAATATTCTCCTGCGATTCTTCGCATTCAACTAACTTAAAATATTAATAAGTTTATACGTTTATGGTAATCAATACCAGAATTTTTCTGTTAATTACCATCTCCTATTACCTCTTCTCTGAGAGTAATTGCCTCTGTCCAATCGTTCTGATTGTTTTTCATTAGCTCGTTTCTCTTTCCATGCTTCATATCTATCAGCCATTTGATATAATTCCTCAGGTACTGCCTAGAGAAAAAGATATGTTTAAAGAGATATTCAAAGCCAGATGTTTATACAATTACATAAATATTTAACGACTTACTTGATTAGCTTCTTCTAAAAGATTAATTAATTCTCTCGCTAAAGACCAATCTTTCCTTGTCATAAACGCTATGCTTTCTCCGGTGCGTCCAGCACGTCCAGTACGACCAACTCGATGAACGTACTCTTCTATATCTCGCGGAAAGTCATAATTTAACACATGCCTAAAAAGGAATTTTATTCTTTTGAAACAAGTATTCCAAGTCGTTTAAAGAGATTTTGATGATATATAAAAATACGTAAGATTAAACGTACGTAACATCTTCGATATCGATTCCTCGGCTGGCAACGTCTGTTGCGAGAAGTACTTGAACTTCTCCAGTTTTCAAATCTTCTAACGCCTGTTCTCTATCAGACTGTTCTCGTCCTCCGTGTATACTCTGACAGCACATACCTTGCAAGGCTAAGTCACTCGCTATATCATCGACTTTCGATTTTTTTCCAAAGAATACTATTACCTTATCGGTAGGAGTCATTTCGCGAAAGAATTGATACATCTGTTGAAAAAGTAGTATTTAATAATGTATTTTTGTTTTATTTCATTAAAAATACTTAGTATAATGCTAACCATGTCTGTTTTTTCGTCCTCGTCAATAAGGTAAATTTTTTGCGCTACCGTATGCACGATAGCTAAATCAAGAGACCCAACAAATATTTGAATTGGATTATTCATATACGATTGAGCTAGACGTCTAACACCCTGGGGCCACGTAGCACTAATAAACGTAAACAAATAGCTTTATCCTTATTCCAATAAAAAGCATTATAGACCATTTCATTCAAACCTTATGTTTTGTATACCTTGTCATCACTGTCTGTCTATCTGGTCTCACATCTAGCAAAGTCTTCCTAATTTGCGGCTCAAAGCCCATGTCAAGCATACGATCAGCTTCATCCAACACGAGATATGTAACCGATGTTACATTTAAAATATTTGCCTCGACCAGATCGTTTAGTCTGCCAGGAGTAGCGATAACTATCTCTACTCCTTTAAGTACGAGGTTGACTTGGTTCTTACGACTACCACCTCCGTATACGCATACCCTATGATAGTTAATTTTTGAAAATATCTCGTAAAGAAATAACACAGTCATTTCAAGTTACAAGTACTCACGCTTTTATACCGTGATAAGAATATTTGTTCACTTCTTTTTCAATTTGTAACGCCAACTCTCTTGTTGGAGCCATAACGAGTACATTGGGACCACCCCGTTCTGATCGAGGTGTTGATTGACCCTCGATGTGAATCAAAGCAGGCAACAAGAATGCCAACGTTTTTCCTGAATGTATCGTTAAAGTATCAGAGATATTTTCATGGTATTCGGTAAAATTGTGATAACTTTCAAAGTGATTCCCTCAGAGGCTTAAGCTACGTTTGTAGCTACAGTACGGGCTTAGCGATCCCAAGCTATAAGGGGGCCAGTGGTGTAAGACTAATACATTAAGTGTTATAGTCAAATAATACACTTTCACACCCTTATAAATAAAACTCATTTACTTTAAAAATGGAAAATAGTATACCTGTGCCGGTTTGGGCAATTCCAATAAGATCTTTACCACTGAGAAGAACAGGCCATGCCTGACACTGTATTGGACTGGGTTTAGCAAATCCCTGCTTTCTTATTTCTTCAAGTATATCAGGATAATCCTATTTTACAATGTTTTTATTGACATATTCTTTGATAAATAATAATTTGTACATATTACTACTTACCTCAAATGCTTGTTCAAATGTTTCAATAGGATTGGGTATATCAATTTCTTCTGACTGACTCTTCTGGCCCTCAAACATATACCTAACTTCTATATTGTTATTCGATTTCCTGATACGAGCAGCTTCTTCTTTTGTCATATTAGTAACCGATGGATGCTCTTTATAAAAGTTTTTAATGATAGGAGCATATTTTGACCATTTCTCTTTTCGGAAGGTATCCTAACATTTACACAAATTCATGATGACATAAATATAGAAATTTGAGAATTATAGCAATTCAGTATGAACATACACATTGTTGATTAGCTTCAGACCAATTGAATGTGCTAAAATCAATTTGTGGTTCATTATCACGCTTATCCTGCTCCTCTTCTGGTTTTGATGATGAATAGGAGGAATCTTGTAATAATTCTTCTATCAGTTGTTTAGCTTGTTCTTGTCCTTCTTTTGAACCAATTATAGTTACAGCAGTAGTATAGTTTCCACTTGACCTATCAACCTATACCAAAGGAATTCTGGGATAGTATGAGTTAAATAGACCAATCTTAATTATGTTGAGTACTTACGTGAATTCTTGTGTTTGTTTTATCTTGGAGGTCTCTGATATTAGATCCACTTTTACCAATGAGTTTTCCTACTTTGTCACTGTCAATATTGACAATAAATTTGTCAGACTTGTTGTCAAAATTTTCATGATCAGAAGAGCAGAATGACTGATTCTGACCCCTTCTGGAATAAGTGCTTCTACGATATCCACCTCTGTCATTGGATCTTGACTCGCGATTATAATTTGTGGAAGAATAAGAGGAGTTTCCATAACTTCGTCGATTGTTGTCCATTCTTAATTACACAAATAAACACGTTTAAATAGTAGACAATTTCGTCTATATTATACACTTGCACATGTATATTTTTTACATACAGAAAACAATAAGAAATACGATAAATTCTATCTTCAAAATGATCTGCGTAAAAAATAACGTATTACGAAAAATATTTACGAATTAACATCTTTGAATTAACATTCGTAAAACGATATATATTAATTACGATTAACAGCATTTATTTTATTGTATGAAAATAGATTAATATTAGTTATTTATTAGTTAATTAATATTAGTTCCAGTACCTTTCAGTAAAACGTGCACGTGTTGACATTGCCAAACTCAATAAAATGCTACCAAGGACGCTTCATAAACAAAGTAATCCTCAAAATTTAAGTCATTGAATTTATGGAAACAATTTCCAGGCTTGCCACTACGTGGTAAAGGAAATTCTAATAAGTTGTTGAACAGATCTTTCCTAGTGAAATCATCCAGTGATACGAATTATAGTCATTATTCAGATATTATAGCTAGTACTGATTCATACTGTGTGAGGGAAAGTCATCTAGTATTTATATAGAAATATATTTATCGCAAAATTTTACGATAAACAGATCGAACTAATTTTTAGATAGACCAATGGTCAGCATCTTCGGCGGGAAAACACTCAAGTTTTGTCACCATTGTAGTTATTTGCTTACTTTTAAATATATTTGCATTATTTAATCGTATTTTAAGCACTGTGTGCAATAAATGCTTTAACATTGTTAGTCTAGATGAGAAATGTTCGTTCTATTTTCTTGGCTTTTCAATTTTTTAAGAGAACAAATGAAGTTCACTAACTATTGACTTACTAACGAATTATACGTTCATAATTATAATTAGAATCAAAATATTTATATACTTAATTGAGGTTAAGATATTTTGTAATGAAACAATGTGCAAACTCTGTGCAACTCTTATTTATATTAGATGATCAGTTTAAAAAAAAAAAAGATATACATACAAAAAGTCAACATCAATGGAAAGTAAACTGTTTTTATTTGATATTATTTTACAAACAGGAAAGATAGAATTTGAGAGTCCTGTTCTTTTTTAAATATCACTAAAGAGGCAAGCATAACATAGAGCCTCGAAAGTATTATATATTTCCTGGAAATGTTCCTTCATCTAGCTGCTCCTCCCATTTCTCTATCCAAGCAATGGGGCACATCGCATTGTAACATTTTTTGAAATACTGACAAGCTTCGTAGTTTTCGCCGTGACGTTTTTTACAACGATGAAAGTCCAAAAAGCTAGTATAGCAGTATCTGTATTCAAAATAGATACAATATTGAAAATATAGATTACACGATAATAAGATATAATATTAAATCGATTGCTTCCTTTACCTTGTTTGGTTTTGATTAGGGAACCTTGGGTCGTAAGGTGCTGTGCATGGCTTGAATTCGCCTGCTTCAACAGTTGGTAAATCGGGAGATCCAATTTTTGTGTATTTAACCATATTGTTGCTGCTTAACAAGTTACAAGTTACTTAATCTATTATATTTATTGAATGACCTACATTTGTCACCCACCCTTTCTCCCCAAAGGCAAACTCTCTATGCGTCTCTCGCTTTAGTCCGTTTGTCTCTTGCACCACTTAACACTATCACAAATAATAGTTAATTCTCCACTACAGTCATCTTTTTATTTTCGTATTATTTAACGACACTTCTCGAGTCAAAATAGTTAATAATCTGGTACCGTGCATTCGTAACTTCTGATAAACGCATTAGTACATTTCATATTGTAAAAAAAAAAGAGAAAGGAATTTATCATCTATAAACTTTTCTGGACAGCACAATTGTCTAAGTAACAAAACATCTTACATGGCAGCTCTTTAAAGTTTGAAATAACATGATCAATAGTTTTTCTTTGCTTAAGTGTAATTGTGAAGTCATTGAACTAGAATTTTTGAAAAGAAAATTTTTGTAATCAATTATTTGACCAGTGGCCTGGTGTTGTCTTCTTCTTGACAACAAACTTCCCTATATTTTTTTACTTCAGCCATGTAAAGTGACCAAGCATCCTTGGGCTGTTCAACAGTTTGTTCAGTCTTTGGTTTAGCAACCATTCCAGTTTTTAAAATCCTCCCTCCTCGCCTCTTTCCTACCATCAAAGGTGGGGGAACTACACTCTTCTCTTCTAAAACAGAAGTCGTCGGTTTTTGTGTAGGTTGCATTTGTTCTTGCATCTTTTTGAACATTTCCATAAAGCTACCGTCGTTTTTAAAAGCGTTAGATTGCGGAGGAATGACTGGTTGTGATATTGCTGCTTCTGTATTATCTTCTGCAATGTCGGATTCGTACGACGGCGCTCTATGGTATCTACGGCTTTCTCTGCCTCTGTGTCTGTCTCTGCTTCTGTTACGACTACGGCTACGTCTTCTATCTCTAGAGCGCGATCTTCCTCTTGATCTGGATCTTGATCTGTCTCTTCTAGAATATTTTCGCGATCTATCTCTTTCTCTATCCCTATCTCGATCCTTGTCTCTGTCAGGCGAACGCGATCGTCTGTGCGATCTACTCAGGGGAGATTTAGAACCACTGCGTCTTCTTCTACGTCTTTCCTGTGGCGAGTCATTTCGAGAGGTTCTACTGCTTCTATAGTCCGAAGGCGAGGGCGAACGGCGCGACGACATTCTGTTTTTGTACCCGTCATATGCTGTGTAAGATGTGCTATACATAGGAGGCGAAGGCGGAGCAGGCGGTGAGTCTGTATTGGACTTGGAGCTGCGTTCATGCCGCTTTGAATCCATTGTTGCGCTTGAATGCTTCTCTCGCCAGGCTGAATGGACAGATGGACACCTATAAGGATAGAAACTGCCTTCTATAAGTACACAGCTCATTTTTTCTTACCACGCCTTTATTTGATTGGTTTTAAATGTACGCGTTTGCAAGAGACAAGCGGATTTATAGCGAGAGACCAAAATATATACTGACTGACATTGAAACGGAAAGAGAGTTCAATCAAAGCTAGGATTTATCGATCATCATCGAATATAGAATGCTATTATTATTACTCATATTGCTAAAATTTAACACCACTCTAGACATCCAACTTTGATTGTATGTTTCATCTATAATTACAGGTTCATACGTATAATTATCTACAAATAATTTTAATAATCACTACTAGTACGAATTCATAATTAGTATTATATTTTCTTGAACCATCTTTTCACAAAATGTTATTGTACATTGTTATATAATTCCATTGTTTCTCTTCCACTACCTTGTATTAAGAGTATGTACATGAACAATGATATTTGAAATTACATCGTTCGTGATAATCGATTCTAATCAACTGACATCATTGTGATAGTTAAAAACGTAAACCTTACGTTCATTTGAGAGAAATTATTCGTAACACATTTCGTATCTTGATGATATTAGTAATAAAAAATGCGTTTCTACTAACAGGAAAAGTTAAATCGTGAATAAACATTTTCAATGTATAAATTTTACGACTTTAACGTAACACGGTACAGAAAGGGATCGTAGATAAATCATAAAACAATCGTGACCTTCTTAAATAGTAATCACAGTTTTTCTATGTTAGGATCATTGTTAACTATTCATCGAACAATCATTCAATAAATAACGTCTAACTCACGTTCGAACAGGTAATGCAGAGAACGACAACAGGAAGAGAAAGATAAAAAGAACTTGAAATCTGATAGAAAACCATTACACAATGCGACTTTTCGATTAGAATTTCAATGAATTCCCACAAAATTATAGGTAAAGCCTTTCAAAGATTTTTTCGAATAATTCGTCGACTATATTAGTCGCCTAAGTACCCTACAATTACACGAAATATTTTTATATAAAATACCTTAATCAGCCGTGCGATTGAAAACAAAATGGCCACTAGGCAAACTGCGAAAGACTGTTACGTCATGCATATACGTCTAGGACAAAGTTAAATCTGATTCTGGAAGAGTACGTCGCAAACCTAAAACCTAAAACACACCTTGAATTTCCTCCGATAGAGTGCGCTCGAATTTATTGCGACGTAAAGTCACTAGGGAGACTAAATATCACTCAGAAGCTTCTAATGTAATTATTCTACGTAATTCTATGCAATAGTATACATAATAATTCTATGTATAGTATTATTGATAATCTACCGATACCGATAGGATATTTCAACTTCTGTTCTCGACTTATCACTATGTAGTTTCGAGTTGGCAATAGACTTATCTACAGCTTGATAAATTTATCGTTTTCACTATATTTAATATATTTTTACTGTATTTTATAGCAATTAATTAATTAATCTATATTATTTCGGTATGAAAAGGTAAATTAAAGAAAATTTCAAAAATCAGATCGAAATTCAAGGAGGGTTGGGAACACCCTAGATTCTCAACATTCGATTTTCCCTTATTGATGTCTATAATTCTTCACGAATATTTCCAAATAAAATTTAACAGACAATTTGCAAATAAAAAATCGACTATTAAGATAAATGAAACAGCAAGAGTTGTAGAAAATCACGTGCAACCGGATCTGAAAAACAATGCAACGCAAACATATCCGGAAAGGGGTGGCGCTGGGCTCGTATATTCACATCCGGCCCTCCATTTTCTTTTGGTCATCGTGTCGTGTACGATTGCGTTCTTATCCGCCACACGTTCGTTATCGATCGTTACGTTTGCTCAGTAATAGTTAAGACGTACGAAAAATCGTATAATTAAGAAAACGCTCGCTAGTCTGTACGTTGCACAATATCCTCATATATTCATTTCTTTCGACCATCGTAATCCTTTTTTGGTTTATCGTGTGCTAATGCGTGGTATTTCAGAAAGCTCTCTGACTCGCGCAATGGCGGAGGATTTGGATGTCGAGGCGATGCTGGAGGCGCCATACAAGAAAGGGGTAAGGCTTATATTCGTTTTTTTGCTTTCCTTCTTCTTCGTTTTTATGTCTCGGTTTGTTCCCCTCGAGGTCCTGACTCTTTTTTTTGTTTTAAATCCTATAAAAGTCCCCGATTCTCGAAGCACGCAAAAAATCCAATTACTGGCGGCGTACTGTTCTGGGCATGTTCAGTCATGTTGCGTTCGAGAGAAAAAAAAATATAATAGAAATGTCCGTCCTTACCTTCCTGTATATACATGTAGAACAAAGTACGCCCTTGTCTCTCATACCGACTATTGATCAATACCTCCGTTTTCTGTACTTATAGATGGTACGTAACATGTACCCTCGCGCTCGTAGGATGTTCGGCAGCGAGTTCCTAGAATGCACTTGAAATACGAGGTATTAAGAAAAGCCATCACTAACATCATTTTTACTTAATTCTGTTTTCTTTCTTTATTTTCACTTGTTTTCTATATATATATTTTTATTTATTTATTTATTTATTATTTTTTTTTTTTTTTTAAATACTTTCTCAGAAACCGTAACGTTTATTATTTTATATGACGTAGATAGAATTGCTACTGTCATCCTTGTACAATTATAGGGAGAGAAAAGATACGAAAGAAAAACGATGTTCTGTAATTATAGGGAATAAAACTGAAAAAATGGAATAACAAATCGATTAGGTGCTGTTCTGCCATGTGCCATGCTATTCTTTTTATCTTTGTAATGTATGTACAAGCGTGGAAGAATAAATCGAGCTGTTTGCATAATCATTATGTGCATAGACTTGTTTACATGGTGTTGACAATGTTTTATGGTAGAAGGGTGTAACTTCTACTCGCATCTTTTGCATTTTTAGGTGGAACGATAAGGGTATTCGTCATTTGAAAAAAAATTGAAGCATTCCAGCATTGGCTTTGCTTTGTTTTTGGTTTACAGGAGTCTTATACATGTACCTGTTTTATATATAATCATGTATCGATTCTTCTTTCTGGAAGAAGTATCCATTAATGCAATTGTCTGAAAATTAAATGAAGTAGAGAGATAGCCTTAAGGAAACGTGTTTTGATCGGTATAAGTATTCATGCTATCAAACTAAAGTGCAAAAATCATGATGAATTTTATCTATGTGCCATAAGAGATAAAATGTTATCTTTAATCAAAGTTTTATATTGTCTTTGAATAGGGTCAAAAATAAAATAACAGTATCAGCAAAAATCTGTATAATAATTCAGTGAAAAATAATATTATGAATATTATATTTCAATGAAATTGTATGTATTGGTTTAAGTTTCTTGGAAAGAATAACATGTAAATAATTTATTATATTTTCTATCTTGCAAAGAGTAACCTGTATTTAATTTAATAGTCTCAAGTATGTTGGACCATTGTTCTTGATCGTTTGATTGGAACTAAATATGTTGTCCATTAAATTATTTATGGTCTCTCTTTTTTTTTTTATAATTCTTATAGTTTTCGATTAATAAAGTATTGTCTGTGCTATTTCAAATTCAAAAATAGCGATTTGTAAATAAAATGCATGGTAAATTGGCAAGCAGGATTAATATTTCATGTGGTTTAACGAGAAAATGTTTTACAAGAACTATTCACAAATATTGCCACGTTTTTGCAAAAATTCAGTAATTGTTTGCAAACCATGTGTAATACGAAAAATAAATTGATAATTCTAGTATTACTCGTATGTGCATTTAACACCATTGTCATCATTTCATTGCATCAAATACGGTACACCTAGTACGCATTCGTTTTTGATCATCTGAAACATTTTCTCTATACAGCTAAGTCATCTTGTAATATATCGACTGGCAGCTGCAAGCGATCGTCGATCGTTTTGTTCCTATTACAAGATAGTTAATTAAGTATACATGCAGGGGTTGTAGGCTAGCAATTAGGGTTCACATCTCGTGTTACATTAAAAACGTGCTGTCTTTGACGAGGGCTCTCTTTTGCAGAAGAAAAAGGATGTGTGGTTGGCCATTGGTAGTTTAAGACCAAGGCATGCTCAACCCAAGATTGCAATGCTTTCCTAAAACCCGATAAAATGATTGGTAAGTTTGAGCCAGGTGTATGCGAGGCATCGCAGCGTTATGCTCGCCCCGTCTCTCTGTTCTCTCTTTCTTCTCTGTCTCCCCATCTCAGCCCCCTCAGACCAATGTAATCTACCTGGAAAAGAGAAAGAGCACAAGAGTGCATCGTCGACCAACAGCAAATAGATCTTCGATTACATATTGCTTGAAGGAAAGTTGTCTACGTGGTTATAAAGATTAACAGAAGACAAAAAACTTCATGACCGATATATTTTATTTCTGAAACTACTGTCAGACTTTGAATTGTACAATTTGTACACAATCTATCGTTACAAAATTTACTAACGTTCTATGATTTGCTTTTTGTCCCCTTGTTCGCGCGTCCCTGCCACATCGGCTGGCTGGCATGGCATTCAACTGTTTGCTGTTCGTAGGAGCAGGACTCCTCATCCAAAGACAAATCTTCCAAGGAGAATGGGTCTAGCCGCAAATCATCTGGGTAAGTACGGTTCATGTACCGTTAATTTTATTAACACTTTGTGCTCGCTACCACATTTAACAACATTAATATCTTTTAGCATAGGTAATGTTATTTTAGAATTTTATTATTGTTTAAAAACAAATGGTCGAGGGCACAAAGTAACAAGTAAATATTAAGATAAGCCCGAGAATAGAGTTAAATATTTTCACCATTTTGTTTTTTACAGAGCTATATTAGAGATTAAAAATGAATTATTTCTACATTAACGTTTCGCAAAATATATAAGACGACTGGATATTGATTAAGATGTTTATTTTATTTTTAAATACCAGTTTTATTATTTTTAATCGTAAATGAAATTATTTTAAAATCCAGTTCGTTCATATCGGATTCTTTGCAATGTAATAAAACACGCGTGTTTATGAGCGGTTAAACTACTTTGTCTTTGAACCTTTAGCATCGTCAATCGAGGTAAATACTTGGTCTTTTATGAATATTTCAAAATAGCCAAACCGCGCACATATATAGCTATTTGAAGTTATATTCTCTTTGTTATAGACCCCATACAATTAGTGTAAATGCTGGTTATTTTCATAATTCCAAAGGTTAAACCCAAAGATGGTAAGTGTTTAGGAAGAATACCTGTATTACAGATTCTGTTACAAATGTGGAATATAATAAACGATCGGTAATGGGATATTTCAAATGAATAAGAACTAGATTAAATATCATTTTTGCTACCAATTGGGTTCTTGTAAAATGTTACATAATTCATTTTACTATAAGCGCATCTTTTAGTATAAAGTTTAAGTTACTTGTACCTGTTCACTTAAAATTTGTGTGTGCGTGCGTGCGTGCGTGCGTATGTACACTTAAAGATTTAGTTATATTTTGTTCATTCTTCGTTTTTAAAAACTGCATTGGAGTGAGGTAAACAAGGCTCCATGCTTGCAAGATTCGTGCAAAATTATAATTTATCTAAAAAAAATTCTTACCACCTAGGGTTTTGATGAGTAAATATAAATAATTGCTTTAATCCTTTAAAGACTGGTATTTTAAACGAACTTTGATTATCGATATTATCAATATGTAATATGCAATCGCTAGTAAAAAAAAAATTTAATTAAATTAATTTTTTTAATTTAACATACTCGTCCTTAAAGAATTAATAATTATTCTATATAATATCGTATTATACAGATTTTAATAATAAAATTCATTTTTATTTCTAAATTAAATATGTTTGTTGCATTGTGTATTACGCGTACATTATAAGTTACATTATCGTGACTTAAGTGACACAAGGTTTCTTAGTCCCAACATTCTTTTCTCTGTTTCTTTTTTAGGAAGAGTAAGCATCGTTCTCGTTCTCGTTCCCGATCGCGAGACCGTAGGGAAAAAGATCGTCGCGATCGCGATAGAGACAGAGATAAGGAACGCGACAGAGACCGTGATCGTGGCGATCGTCGACGTAGATCAAGATCTAGAGAACGAAGAGACCGTGACAGAGATAGGGACACCGAGCGAGATACCAG